TTATATTAGGCAATTAATGTGCTCTTATTATAAACTATATTCTTAAATCATGATGCATGTTGCGTATAATTAACATGTCTACTTTATCATACAGAAGCTGCTAGTGGCCGTGGTGGTGGTGCTGGTGGCCGGTGGTCACGCTGACGTCCACTCCTCAGGTGGAGCCCATCATGGGTCAGTCTCATCCAGACCTCATATAGGTCATGGTAGCCATGGGGTTGTTCATGGTCGCCATGGTGTTGCTCATGGTAGCCATATTGTTACTCATGGTAGCCATGGTGTTGCTCACGGTCACTCCACGGGACTTCATGGGTCCTACACCCCTCCAAGGCCAGTTTATGGTGCTCATCAGTCCAGCTACACGCCCCATACACCAAGCTATGGTAGCCATCATGGGGGCCACCATGGAAGTTACACTCCCCCTAGACCAACTTATGGTGGTCACCATACAAGCTATACGCCTCATACACCAACTTATGGTGGTCACCATACAAGCTACACTCCCCCTAGACCAACTTATGGTGGTCACCATACAAGCTATACGCCTTATCAACCAACCTATGGTGTGTCTCATGGTGTTCATGGTGGGTCATCTGTGGGCAGGCACGTCGCTCCCCACCGTTCAGCAGGAGGCCACGGTTATGGCCATTAACATTCCTGAAACATGCAACCCAAAGTGAGGATGGCACAAGTACTTCAAGAACCTGCAAATGTGATTCGTGAACCGTAAACTGGTTTTATATATTTATTTAAAATCCGACACACTTGTCACTAAATATCCAATAAAACTGTAAAATATGAATATACAAGTTCTTGCATATCCTTTTAGACTGACGGTAATTAATGGAAGTATGGCTGGCAGACAGGATTTTCTCTAAACTGTCCTTAATATCCCCACAGTGTTCCTTTTTCTGTTTTGTTTTTGATCATTGGTTGTGACAGAAAGGGGCATCTGCATGTATTGTATATTTGACTATTGTCTGTATAATTATTTTTTATGATCATTGTACCATTGGGTAAGAGATCTATGATATTCATGAGTGAGTGGCTACAGGTGTCCAGGTACCTCATGTACAATTATTGGTTCATGTATTTTATTTTAAAGTGAAAAGCATATACTATAAGTTGCTGATTGGAGAAATAAGTTTCATATTGAAGGTGTTGTATATATTTTTCTTATCGGTCAATGGATTCAGAAATTAACTTAAAGATGACATTGAAGTAGTGTGTGTTAGCAATCAAATCCATCATTTGATATTATCCCTGGACCACGACTAAATGGTTGTTAAGAGGGAGGTGTGAAGGTTTTTCTTCGATTTTGACGAAAAATCATGATACCAAAAGCAGTGAAGGAAGTCGGCGATATCCATAACAATAGCATGTAGATTGAGGAATATTTAGGGATAGAGATAAAGTCTCAGAATGCAGCGAAAGTGACATACATTTTTGTTTTGAATCGACGTTATTATGTGGGTGTGAGGGATGGATCTTGATGCACCAGGTAATGCTATAGTATATACCACATATGAATTTCATAGGAATAATATATGGAGTGAATAGAGCTTGGAAAATAATTGGATATTATTGTAAATATGAAGTATAAGTTTTTTGCATTTGCTGTTGTTTTAAAATGCCTTGTATTAGGCAGGCAATGAGACAGTTATCATACAATATATGTATTCAGGAAAGAGTTGGTCAAGCTTCTCGCTGGTGAGTAAGATGCAATATTAATGTTAATATTAATGTAAATTAAAATAATAATAATAATAAAAAAATGGATTTTAGCAGAGAGGGAACGATAAAAAATTATATGGAAAGATTAAGAGGAAGAAACAATTTAGGTGAGAGGACCGATAAGTATATGACGGTCAGATATCATGATGTCGAGTGAGTTTTTTGGAGGGGGAATTTTGCTGGCGATTGTTTTCGTCTTTTGTAAGGCGATGGGCCTGATATTGCTTTTTATCGGGGAGGGCGTAACACAGGATATATTTTCAACAGCAATAATAATGAATGTATAAGACCTAAAGCGGCCTTCAGCAGGAAAATATTGGATTGAATAAGAAGAAAGAAAAACAATTAAACGATGTTAATATATTTTCCTTTACAACTAATTAATAGTGAATATTTAAAACAATAAATAAGATTTTAATTCAATATGAAAGACGAATGCTTTAATTTCTATTTTTCACAAATTATATAAAATATGAAATAATTCTGATAGATACACATAAAATATATGCTGTAGAATGAGAGAACAATTATTTAATGTTTAAGATAATATGCCAATAAAGTGAATAAGACAAAGGTATTGGTTAGTGAGAGAAAAAATATTACAATGAAAATAAAAAAGTAAAATATTGAGAAATGCGAATAGAGACACATAGAAAATACACCAGGACACACACACACACACACACACACACACACACACACACACCAACAACCGCCTGCACAAAAGTCTACATAACCAGGTCATCAGGGAAATCAAGTCAGCCAAGAAGTCTTATTATCCCAGGAAAGTGCACGGCCTCAAGGAGGTCGGCATCGGTCAGTGGTACTCTAAGGTAAAAGATCTCTGTGGTCTTAACTGTCAGTCTCCCACACATCCTTTTATCTCACATTTACCTAGTGAGGAGGCAGCTGAGATAATTAATAACCACTTTGCTACTATATGTCATACCCTACCCAGTCTTGACCTCACTCTCCTCCCGGCCTACTTACCTTCCCCCTCCCCCCTCCCAGTGTTCAACTATTTGAAATTGCCAACAAACTCCTAAAATTTAAATCCAAACGCTCTACAACCCTAATTGACCTCCCAAACAAAATTTACAAGAAGTTTGCAGTTGAAATTGCCACCCCCCTCTGTTCCATTATTAATGCCTCCCTTAGACAAAGCAAATATCCTAATGAATGGAAAACCGCATATGTCACCCCTATCCCCAAGGTCCCCACCCCACAGTCCTCTAGTGACCTCAGGCCGGTTGCCATTACCCCCATACCCAGTCTACTCTGTGAAGACTTTGTTTTTGAATGGGCATTTACTAGTATTTATCAGTCAATTGATCCACAGCAATTTGGCAATATGAGGACCTCCTCCACATCACACTGCTTTGTTAGTTTCCTGGATTTTCTGAACAAAAACCTGGAGAAACGTAAGACATCACTGGCCGTTGCCCTTGTTGACTTCAGGAAGGCTTTTGACCTTGTTGATCACTGCATTGTTATCAACAAGGCCATTGCACTGAGGCTGCCCACCAACCTGGTCTCACGGCTCACGGATTTCCTGAGTGAGCGTCTTCAGGCAGTGAGGTACCAGGGTTCTGTCTCCACATTCCAACACCTCACCTGCGGTGTTCCCTTGGGGACCAAGATGGGACCAACCACTGTGCTTCTTAATCCTGATCAAAGACGCTCTCTCGGACACTCGTCACAGGTGGCAGTACGTGGATGACTGCACTGTGGGGGTTACAGTAGACAACACCTCACCGGACTACTCATCGCTACTAGGCACCCTGGACAGGCTACAGGCATGGACTACGGAGAACAATGTCACCATCAATCACACCAGAACCGTAGTCATGCACATCAACACCGCCACCACTCCAGTGCAGGCTCCAGCAGTTACAGTGGGTGCCCATCCTCTCCAGTTAGTGCAGTCTGCCAAACTCCTGGGTGTAACTATAGACCACAAACTGGACTGGAAGGCCCATGTAAAGAACACTATCAAGGCAGCCTCTTACCGACTCTACATGCTACGACAACTCAGGTCACTTTTGGCACCCACGTCAGAGCTAAGGACTATCTACAACGCATTTATACTCCTAAAATTAACGTATGCGTCACCAGTCTGGTCGTGTTCTCTCAACTTTACCCAACAACGTCAGCTAGAGAAGGTACAGAAAAGTGCCTGCAGAATCATGCGTGACGCAGACTACTCCGGCTACAACAACGCTCTCTCCACCCTGGAAATGCCCTCCCTCAGTGACCTCCACCACCAGGCACTAGCAGGGTTTGGTTGTGGACTACTGCACCATCCTCGTCATCGCCACTTACTGCCACCTGCAGTCCCCCGCCCACCTCGCGCAGTCCGCCACTACAACAAAATTCAGCCCATAAGAGCCCGCACTGATAGATAAAGAACAGCACCTTCTCATCTATTGTTAAAATAATAAATAGCTCCTGATTTATGTAATGTACAGCCCTGTAAATGTATTGAGCGTATATTTTTATATCTAAATCACATGTAAGTTTGTATATTTTCAGCCACCGGCTACAACTCTATTAATAAACCGTTTATTATTATTATTATTATTATTATTATTTTTATTATTATTATGACACACACACCCACATGAAAAAGAACTTTATAGAAGAACTTCACAGGGGCACCCCATAGAAACACTGTGTTAACAATTTCAACAGGAGCATGTTTAAAAGTTAGCGCGTCCTTGCCTAAGCCGATGGGCGTTACCTCTTAAAATACAGCCGAGGTTGGTTTCACCGGGTGCTATAAAAGACGTCCACGGCCCCACACTGACAACTTGTTCCTCAACCTCGACATGGTAAGCATCTCTTACTTCTCTGGATCTTACGAGTTCTCAAGATAACAATGAATTTTAAGATAATCAACTTAGAAAACAAATACAGTTTAGACACAGTGAATTACAGTACTAAATATCACACATTCCTAATAATGTTGAATTTATACTTAATAACCTCATTGTTTTAGAAATATGATAAACTTAACACAGCAAACTTTAAAAGGAAATACAAGGCCTTTGCATTGGGGAATATTTTAATAATTTATATCATAATTGGTTATAAACGTAAATATGAACTCTAAGTTTTCAGCATTTGTAGTTGTTATAAAATCCTCAGTATTAGGCAAGTAATAAAACAGTTATTATACAACATATTTATAAAACTCGGTGCACTTAATACAACCTTTTTAATTAGTCACTTAATTAACTGTGTCTATTCCTGTATCGTACTGTTATACGTAGAATTAATGGATTATGTCTACTTTATCATACAGAAGCTGCTAGTGGCCGTGGTGGTGGTGTTGGTGGCCGGTGGTCACGCTGACGTCCACTCCTCAGGTGGAGCCCATCATGGGTCAGTCTCATCCAGACCTCATATAGGTCATGGTAGCCATGGTGTTCATGGTAGCCGTGGTGTTGCTCATGGTAGCCATGGTGTTGCTCATGGTAGCCATGGTGTTGCTCACGGTAGCCATGGTGTTGCTCATGGTAGCCATGGTGTTGCTCACGGTCACTCCACGGGACTTCATGGGTCCTACACCCCTGCAAGGCCAGTTTATGGTGCTCATCAGTCCAGCTACACGTCCCATACACCAAGCTATGGTAGCCATCATGGGGGCCACCATGGAAGCTACACTCCCCCTAGACCAACTTATGGTGGTCACCACACAAGCTATACGCCTCATAGACCAACTTATGGTGGTCACCATACAAGCTATACGCCTTATCAACCAACATATGGTGGTCACCATACAAGCTATACGCCTTATCAACCAACCTATGGTGTGTCTCATGGTGTCCATGGTGGGTCATCTGTGGGCAGGCACGTCGCTCCCCACCGTTCAGCAGGAGGCCACGGTTATGGCCATTAACATTCCTGAAACATGCAACCCAAAGTGAGGATGGCACAAGTACTTCAAGAACCTGCAAATATGGTTCTTGAACCGTAAACTGGTTTTATTTATTTATTTAAATTCCTACACATTTGTAACTAAATATCCAATAAAACCGTGAAATATGAATAGAAACTTTTTGCATATCCTTTTAAACTGACGGTAATTAATGGAAGTATGGCTGGCAGACAGAACTCTGTCTAAACTACCCTTAATATCCCCAGAGTGTTCATTCTCTTTTTTCTAATTATTTCTGATCATTGGTTATAATAAAAAGGGGCATCTGGAAGTGTTGTGTATTTTGTCATTATCCATATTATTTGCTTTCGTTATGATCCATGTACCATTGGCTTAAAGATTCACACCATTCACGAATGATGGACTACAGGTGTCCAAGTACCTCATGAACAATTATTGGTTTATATATTGTATACTAAAATGAAAGGCATATACTACAAGTTGCTGGATGGAGAAATGAGTTTCATATTGAAGCTATTTTACATCTTTGTGAAAACAGATTATTGGTTTTGAATTAACATAAAGATGACATTTGATAATGTTCCTGGACCTCGACCTAGATGGTTGTCAAGAGGGAGGTGTGAAGGTTTATCATCGATTTTAATTGAAAATCATGATTCTAGAAGTTGTGAAGGCGGTCGGCGATAGCCATAACAATAGCATGTGGATTGAGAGACTTTAGCGGTAGAGTGTCTTAGAAATCAGCGAAAGGACATAGAATTGTTGTTTTGAACCAACATAATTATATGGATGTGAATGATGGATCTTGATGCACAAGGCAATGCAATATTATGTACCACATAAATGAATTTCTTAGGAAGAATATATGAAGTGAATAGAACAAAGTGTAGAAAATAAGAAGTACTTGAAAACGGAGATAGGGAAGTAAACATGTACTGAACAAAAGAGTAGGTCAAGATCGTCTCCAGTGATATAGATAGTCTGTTAATATTAATGCAGATTAAAAAGAAATGTTGTAGCAGAGCGGAAAATATAAATCACAATATGGAAGGATGAAGTGGAGTATACTTTAAGTGAAAAAGACGGCTATGTAAAACACACTTGTATATATGATGGTCAGACATCAAGGTGTCGAGGGAGTTATGGCTCCGTGAGGACTTTCGGTGGCTAGTGATGCCGCCTTTTGTGTAGCGATGGGCCAGATATTTGTTTTTGTGTGGAATGGGAGTAACGTAACATAAATGTTCGACAGAAATAACAATGAATGTATGATTCCTAAGGGAGGTGGAGGTTCACGTTGCTTAAGACTAAGATGAATGAGCAGGCTTTGTGTGAAATAAAACAAATCCTAGGATTGCTTTCGTTGCTCTTCTGGTGCCGTGGTAGCGATCCTTGTACACACGCAGAACTCCAGTGTTTTATTCTCCACTAGTGAGATATTGTTTTTAAATGGAAGCCCGCGTGTATATATATATATATATATATATATATATATATATATATATATATATATATATATATATATATATATATATATATATATATATATATATATATATATATTCAGGTAAATCACTGTAGGTGCGCGTGTTCCAAGTATATATGCTGATAGCCACAAGGAAACAAGGAAACACGAAGGCCCCAAGCGCTTTCGTGTAATTCACATCTTCAGGGGTGAGTACAGACTAAGGGGAAATACATAACAAGGCAAATATATATATATATACAGTAGAGGAAGGTGAGATGAAGTCCACAATAGTCAGGTTATTAGGTAGTGACCCTACTGATCTCCAACCTAATAACCTTACTATTGTGGACTATTCCTCTACTGTATATATATATATATTTGCCTTGTTATGTATTTCCCCTTAGTCTGTACTCACCCCTGAAGATGTGAATTACACGAAAGCGCTTGGGGCCTTCGTGTTTCCTTGTTTCCTAGTGGCTATCAGCATACTGTATACTTGGAACACGCGCACCTACAGTGATTTACCTGAATATATATATATATATATATATATATATATATATATATATATATATATATATATATATATATATATATATATATATATATATATATATATATATATTTATATGTATATATATATATTCGATAATAAATGAGCCCATTCCTTATGTTTTGAAGACCTTCATTGGGTAACCGCAAAAAAATTCTAGTATCTAACATTATCTCTCTAAAAAGAAAAGAGGAAAATGAGTCGTATAAAGGAACCACCTTAAAAGTTGGTGTGTCCTCGTCAGCGCCGATGGGCGTTGCCTCTCAGAATACAGCCGAGGTTGGTTTCACCAGGTGCTAAAATAGCTCATGTGTGGACTATAAAAGGCATCCACGACCCCACACTGACAACTTGTCTCTCAACCTCGACATGGTAAGCATCTCTTACTTCTCTCGATCTTATGGGTTATACTGTATATATATAACATAACGATGTTTTAATTTCACCAAACGTCTGAAGTCTACAGAAGTTCTAAACTTACTGTAATACTAAACATTACAAATTTCCAACAATTGTGAATTAATTCAAATAATTCCAAGTTATTCATATAATATATGAAATCTTAACAGATAATATTTCCAAATGATAAACAAAAGTATTTGCATAAGTGAATATTTCATTAATTTATAAATGGTTAATAAAATAACGATAAAGGTTAAGTTTTTACCATTTTGTGTTGTTATAAAATGCGTTATATTAGGCAATTAATGTGCTCTTATTATAAACTATATTCTTAAATCATGATGCATGTTGCGTATAATTAACATGTCTACTTTATCATACAGAAGCTGCTAGTGGCCGTGGTGGTGGTGCTGGTGGCCGGTGGTCACGCTGACGTCCACTCCTCAGGTGGAGCCCATCATGGGTCAGTCTCATCCAGACCTCATATAGGTCATGGTAGCCATGGGGTTGTTCATGGTCGCCATGGTGTTGCTCATGGTAGCCATATTGTTACTCATGGTAGCCATGGTGTTGCTCACGGTCACTCCACGGGACTTCATGGGTCCTACACCCCTCCAAGGCCAGTTTATGGTGCTCATCAGTCCAGCTACACGCCCCATACACCAAGCTATGGTAGCCATCATGGGGGCCACCATGGAAGTTACACTCCCCCTAGACCAACTTATGGTGGTCACCATACAAGCTATACGCCTCATACACCAACTTATGGTGGTCACCATACAAGCTACACTCCCCCTAGACCAACTTATGGTGGTCACCATACAAGCTATACGCCTTATCAACCAACCTATGGTGTGTCTCATGGTGTTCATGGTGGGTCATCTGTGGGCAGGCACGTCGCTCCCCACCGTTCAGCAGGAGGCCACGGTTATGGCCATTAACATTCCTGAAACATGCAACCCAAAGTGAGGATGGCACAAGTACTTCAAGAACCTGCAAATGTGATTCGTGAACCGTAAACTGGTTTTATATATTTATTTAAAATCCGACACACTTGTCACTAAATATCCAATAAAACTGTAAAATATGAATATACAAGTTCTTGCATATCCTTTTAGACTGACGGTAATTAATGGAAGTATGGCTGGCAGACAGGATTTTCTCTAAACTGTCCTTAATATCCCCACAGTGTTCCTTTTTATCTGTTTGTTTTTTGATCATTGGTAGTGACAGAAAGGGGCATCTGCATGTATTGTATATTTGACTATTGTCTGTATAATTATTTTTTATGATCATTGTACCATTGGGTAAGAGATCTATGATATTCATGAGTGAGTGGCTACAGGTGTCCAGGTACCTCATGTACAATTATTGGTTCATGTATTTTATTTTAAAGTGAAAAGCATATACTATAAGTTGCTGATTGGAGAAATAAGTTTCATATTGAAGGTGTTGTATATATTTTTCTTATCGGTCAATGGATTCAGAAATTAACTTAAAGATGACATTGAAGTAGTGTGTGTTAGCAATCAAATCCATCATTTGATATTATCCCTGGACCACGACTAAATGGTTGTTAAGAGGGAGGTGTGAAGGTTTTTCTTCGATTTTGACGAAAAATCATGATACCAAAAGCAGTGAAGGAAGTCGGCGATATCCATAACAATAGCATGTAGATTGAGGAATATTTAGGGATAGAGATAAAGTCTCAGAATGCAGCGAAAGTGACATACATTTTTGTTTTGAATCGACGTTATTATGTGGGTGTGAGGGATGGATCTTGATGCACCAGGTAATGCTATAGTATATACCACATATGAATTTCATAGGAATAATATATGGAGTGAATAGAGCTTGGAAAATAATTGGATATTATTGTAAATATGAAGTATAAGTTTTTTGCATTTGCTGTTGTTTTAAAATGCCTTGTATTAGGCAGGCAATGAGACAGTTATCATACAATATATGTATTCAGGAAAGAGTTGGTCAAGCTTCTCGCTGGTGAGTAAGATGCAATATTAATGTTAATATTAATGTAAATTAAAATAATAATAATAATAAAAAAATGGATTTTAGCAGAGAGGGAACGATAAAAAATTATATGGAAAGATTAAGAGGAAGAAACAATTTAGGTGAGAGGACCGATAAGTATATGACGGTCAGATATCATGATGTCGAGTGAGTTTTTTGGAGGGGGAATTTTGCTGGCGATTGTTTTCGTCTTTTGTAAGGCGATGGGCCTGATATTGCTTTTTATCGGGGAGGGCGTAACACAGGATATATTTTCAACAGCAATAATAATGAATGTATAAGACCTAAAGCGGCCTTCAGCAGGAAAATATTGGATTGAATAAGAAGAAAGAAAAACAATTAAACGATGTTAATATATTTTCCTTTACAACTAATTAATAGTGAATATTTAAAACAATAAATAAGATTTTAATTCAATATGAAAGACGAATGCTTTAATTTCTATTTTTCACAAATTATATAAAATATGAAATAATTCTGATAGATACACATAAAATATATGCTGTAGAATGAGAGAACAATTATTTAATGTTTAAGATAATATGCCAATAAAGTGAATAAGACAAAGGTATTGGTTAGTGAGAGAAAAAATATTACAATGAAAATAAAAAAGTAAAATATTGAGAAATGCGAATAGAGACACATAGAAAATACACCAGGACACACACACACACACACACACACACACACACACACACACCAACAACCGCCTGCACAAAAGTCTACATAACCAGGTCATCAGGGAAATCAAGTCAGCCAAGAAGTCTTATTATCCCAGGAAAGTGCACGGCCTCAAGGAGGTCGGCATCGGTCAGTGGTACTCTAAGGTAAAAGATCTCTGTGGTCTTAACTGTCAGTCTCCCACACATCCTTTTATCTCACATTTACCTAGTGAGGAGGCAGCTGAGATAATTAATAACCACTTTGCTACTATATGTCATACCCTACCCAGTCTTGACCTCACTCTCCTCCCGGCCTACTTACCTTCCCCCTCCCCCCTCCCAGTGTTCAACTATTTGAAATTGCCAACAAACTCCTAAAATTTAAATCCAAACGCTCTACAACCCTAATTGACCTCCCAAACAAAATTTACAAGAAGTTTGCAGTTGAAATTGCCACCCCCCTCTGTTCCATTATTAATGCCTCCCTTAGACAAAGCAAATATCCTAATGAATGGAAAACCGCATATGTCACCCCTATCCCCAAGGTCCCCACCCCACAGTCCTCTAGTGACCTCAGGCCGGTTGCCATTACCCCCATACCCAGTCTACTCTGTGAAGACTTTGTTTTTGAATGGGCATTTACTAGTATTTATCAGTCAATTGATCCACAGCAATTTGGCAATATGAGGACCTCCTCCACATCACACTGCTTTGTTAGTTTCCTGGATTTTCTGAACAAAAACCTGGAGAAACGTAAGACATCACTGGCCGTTGCCCTTGTTGACTTCAGGAAGGCTTTTGACCTTGTTGATCACTGCATTGTTATCAACAAGGCCATTGCACTGAGGCTGCCCACCAACCTGGTCTCACGGCTCACGGATTTCCTGAGTGAGCGTCTTCAGGCAGTGAGGTACCAGGGTTCTGTCTCCACATTCCAACACCTCACCTGCGGTGTTCCCTTGGGGACCAAGATGGGACCAACCACTGTGCTTCTTAATCCTGATCAAAGACGCTCTCTCGGACACTCGTCACAGGTGGCAGTACGTGGATGACTGCACTGTGGGGGTTACAGTAGACAACACCTCACCGGACTACTCATCGCTACTAGGCACCCTGGACAGGCTACAGGCATGGACTACGGAGAACAATGTCACCATCAATCACACCAGAACCGTAGTCATGCACATCAACACCGCCACCACTCCAGTGCAGGCTCCAGCAGTTACAGTGGGTGCCCATCCTCTCCAGTTAGTGCAGTCTGCCAAACTCCTGGGTGTAACTATAGACCACAAACTGGACTGGAAGGCCCATGTAAAGAACACTATCAAGGCAGCCTCTTACCGACTCTACATGCTACGACAACTCAGGTCACTTTTGGCACCCACGTCAGAGCTAAGGACTATCTACAACGCATTTATACTCCTAAAATTAACGTATGCGTCACCAGTCTGGTCGTGTTCTCTCAACTTTACCCAACAACGTCAGCTAGAGAAGGTACAGAAAAGTGCCTGCAGAATCATGCGTGACGCAGACTACTCCGGCTACAACAACGCTCTCTCCACCCTGGAAATGCCCTCCCTCAGTGACCTCCACCACCAGGCACTAGCAGGGTTTGGTTGTGGACTACTGCACCATCCTCGTCATCGCCACTTACTGCCACCTGCAGTCCCCCGCCCACCTCGCGCAGTCCGCCACTACAACAAAATTCAGCCCATAAGAGCCCGCACTGATAGATAAAGAACAGCACCTTCTCATCTATTGTTAAAATAATAAATAGCTCCTGATTTATGTAATGTACAGCCCTGTAAATGTATTGAGCGTATATTTTTATATCTAAATCACATGTAAGTTTGTATATTTTCAGCCACCGGCTACAACTCTATTAATAAACCGTTTATTATTATTATTATTATTATTATTATTTTTATTATTATTATGACACACACACCCACATGAAAAAGAACTTTATAGAAGAACTTCACAGGGGCACCCCATAGAAACACTGTGTTAACAATTTCAACAGGAGCATGTTTAAAAGTTAGCGCGTCCTTGCCTAAGCCGATGGGCGTTACCTCTTAAAATACAGCCGAGGTTGGTTTCACCGGGTGCTATAAAAGACGTCCACGGCCCCACACTGACAACTTGTTCCTCAACCTCGACATGGTAAGCATCTCTTACTTCTCTGGATCTTACGAGTTCTCAAGATAACAATGAATTTTAAGATAATCAACTTAGAAAACAAATACAGTTTAGACACAGTGAATTACAGTACTAAATATCACACATTCCTAATAATGTTGAATTTATACTTAATAACCTCATTGTTTTAGAAATATGATAAACTTAACACAGCAAACTTTAAAAGGAAATACAAGGCCTTTGCATTGGGGAATATTTTAATAATTTATATCATAATTGGTTATAAACGTAAATATGAACTCTAAGTTTTCAGCATTTGTAGTTGTTATAAAATCCTTAGTATTAGGCAAGTAATAAAACAGTTATTATACAACATATTTATAAAACTCGGTGCACTTAATACAACCTTTTTAATTAGTCACTTAATTAACTGTGTCTATTCCTGTATCGTACTATTATACGTAGAATTAATGGATTATGTCTACTTTATCATACAGAAGCTGCTAGTGGCCGTGGTGGTGGTGTTGGTGGCCGGTGGTCACGCTGACGTCCACTCCTCAGGTGGAGCTCATCATGGGTCAGTCTCATCCAGACCTCATATAGGTCATGGTAGCCATGGTGTTCATGGTAGCCGTGGTGTTGCTCATGGTAGCCATGGTGTTGCTCATGGTAGCCATGGTGTTGCTCACGGTAGCCATGGTGTTGCTCATGGTAGCCATGGTGTTGCTCACGGTCACTCCACGGGACTTCATGGGTCCTACACCCCTGCAAGGCCAGTTTATGGTGCTCATCAGTCCAGCTACACGTCCCATACACCAAGCTATGGTAGCCATCATGGGGGCCACCATGGAAGCTACACTCCCCCTAGACCAACTTATGGTGGTCACCACACAAGCTATACGCCTCATAGACCAACTTATGGTGGTCACCATACAAGCTATACGCCTTATCAACCAACATATGGTGGTCACCATACAAGCTATACGCCTTATCAACCAACCTATGGTGTGTCTCATGGTGTCCATGGTGGGTCATCTGTGGGCAGGCACGTCGCTCCCCACCGTTCAGCAGGAGGCCACGGTTATGGCCATTAACATTCCTGAAACATGCAACCCAAAGTGAGGATGGCACAAGTACTTCAAGAACCTGCAAATTTGATTCTTGAACCGTAAACTGGTTTTATTTATTTATATAGATTCCTACACATTTGTAACTAAATATCCAATAAAACCGTGAAATATGAATAGAAACTTTTTGCATATCCTTTTAAACTGACGGGAAATAATGGAAGTATGGCTGGCAGACAGAACTCTGTCTAAACTACCCTTAATATCCCCAGAGTGTTCATTCTCTTTTTTCTAATTATTTCTGATCATTGGTTATAATAAAAAGGGGCATCTGGAAGTGTTGTGTATTTTGCCATTATCCATATTATTTGCTTTCATTATGATCCAGGTACCATTGGCTTAAAGATTCACACCATTCACGAATGATGGACTACAGGTGTCCAAGTACCTCATGAACAATTATTGGTTTATATATTGTATACTAAAATGAAAGGCATATACTACAAGTTGCTGGATGGAGAAATGAGTTTCATATTGAAGCTATTTTACGTCTTTGTGAAAACAGATTATTGGTTTTGAATTAACATAAAGATGACATTTGATAATGTTCCTGGACCTCGACCTGGATGGTTGTCAAGAGGGAGGTGTGAAGGTTTATCATCGATTTGAATTGAAAACCATGATTCTAGAAGCTGTGAAGGAGCTCGGCGATAGCCATAACAATAGCATGTGGATTGAGAGACTTTAGCGGTAGAGTGTCTTAGAAATCAGCGAAAGGACATAGAATTGTTGTTTTGAACCAACATAATTATATGGATGTGAATGATGGATCTTGATGCACAAGGCAATGCAATATTATGTACCACATAAATGAATTTCTTAGGAAGAATATATGAAGTGTATAGAACAAAGTGTAGAAAATAAGAAGTACTTGAAAACGGAGATAGGGAAGTAAACATGTACTGAACAAAAGAGTAGGTCAAGATCGTCTCCAGTGATATAGATAGTCTGTTAATATTAATGCAGATTAAAAAGAAATGTTGTAGCAGAGCGGAAAATATAAATCACAATATGGAAGGATGAAGTGGAGTATACTTTAAGTGAAAAAGACGGCTATGTAAAACACACTTGTATATATGATGGTCAGACATCAAGGTGTCGAGGGAGTTATGGCTCCGTGAGGACTTTCGGTGGCTAGTGATGCCGCCTTTTGTGTAGCGATGGGCCAGATATTTGTTTTTGTGTGGAATGGGAGTAACGTAACATAAATGTTCGACAGAAATAACAATGAATGTATGATTCCTAAGGGAGGTGGAGGTTCACGTTGCTTAAGACTAAGATGAATGAGCAGGCTTTGTGTGAAATAAAACAAATCCTAGGATTGCTTTCGTTGCTCTTCTGGTGCCGTGGTAGCGATCCTTGTACACACGCAGAACTCCAGTGTTTTATTCTCCACTAGTGAGATATTGTTTTTAAATGGAAGCCCGCGTGTGTATATATATATATATATATATATATATATATATATATATATATATATATATATATATATATATATATATATATATATATATATATATATATTCAGGTAAATCACTGTAGGTGCGCGTGATCCAGGTATATGCTGATAGCCACAAGGAAACACGAAGGCCCCAAGCGCTTTCGTGTAATTCACATCTTCAGGGGTGAGTACAGACTAAGGAGAAATACATAACAAGGCAAATATATATATATACAGTAGAGGAAGGTGAGATGAAGTCCACAATAGTCAGGTTATTAGGTATTGACCCTACTGATCTCCAACCTAATAACCTTACTATTGTGGACTTGGTCTCACCTTCCTCTACTGTATATGCCTCCTTAGTCTGTACTCGCCACGAAAGCATATATATATATATATATATATATATATATATATATATATATATATATATATATATATATATATATATATATATATATATATATATATATATATATATATATATATTCGATAATAAATGAGCCCATTCCTTATGTTTTGAAGACCTTCATTGGGTAACCGCAAAAAAATTCAAGTATCTAACATTATCTCTCTAAAAAGAAAAGAGGAAAATGAGTCGTATAAAGGAACCACCTTAAAAGTTGGTGTGTCCTCGTGAGCGCCGATGGGCGTTGCCTCTCAGAATACAGCCGAGGTTGGTTTCACCAGGTGCTAAAATAGCTCATGTGTGGACTATAAAAGGCATCCACGACCCCACACTGACAACTTGTCTCTCAACCTCGACATGGTAAGCATCTCTTACTTCTCTCGATCTCATGAGTTATACTGTATATATATAACATAACGATGTTTTAATTTCACCAAACGTCTGAAGTCTACAGAAGTTCTAAACTTACTGTAATACTAAACATTACAAATTTCCAACAATTGTGAATTAATTCAAATAATTCCAAGTTATTCATATAATATATGAAATCTTAACAGATAATATTTCCAAATGCTAAACAAAAGTATTTGCATAAGTGAATATTTCATTAATTTATACATGATTAATAAAATAACGATAAAGGTTAAGTTTTTACCATTTTGTGTTGTTATAAAATGCGTTATATTAGGCAAGTAATGTGCTCTTATTATAAACTATATTCTTAAATCATGATGCATGTTGCGTATAATTAACATGTCTACTTTATCATACAGAAGCTGCTAGTGGCCGTGGTGGTGGTGCTGGTGGCCGGTGGTCACGCTGACGTCCACTCCTCAGGTGGAGCCCATCATGGGTCAGTCTCATCCAGACCTCATATAGGTCATGGTAGCCATGGGGTTGTTCATGGTAGCCATGGTGTTGCTCATGGCAGCCATATTGTTGCTCATGGTCGCCATGGTGTTGCTCACGGTCACTCCACGGGACTTCATGGGTCCTACACCCCTCCAAGGCCAGTTTATGGTGCTCATCAGTCCAGCTACACGCCCCATACACCAAGCTATGGTAGCCATCATGGGGGCCACCATGGAAGCTACACTCCCCATAGGCCAACGTATGGTGGTCACCATACAAGCTACACGCCTCATAGACCAACTTATGGTGGTCACCATACAAGCTATACGCCTCATACACCAGCATATGGCGGTCACCATGCAAGCTACACTCCACCTAGACCAACTTATGGTGGTCACCACACAAGCTATACGCCTTATCAACCAACCTATGGTGTGTCTCATGGTGTCCATGGTGGGTCATCTGTGGGCAGGCACGTCGCTCCCCATCGTTCAGCAGGAGGCCACGGTTATGGCCATTAACATTCCTGAAACATGCAACCCAAAGTGAGGATGGCACAAGTACTTCAAGAACCTGCAAATTTGATTCTTGAACCGCAAACTGGTTTTATTTATTTATTTAAATTCCTACACATTTGTAACTAAATATCCAATAAAACTGTGAAATATGAATAGAAACTTTTTTGCATATCCTTTTAAACTGACGGTAATTAATGGAAGTATAGCTGGCAGACAGAACTCTGTCTAAGCTACTCTTAATATCCCCAGAGTGTTCATTCTCTTTTTTCTAATTATTTTCCGATCATTGGTTATAATAAAAAGGGGCATCTGGAAGTGTTGTGTATTTTGTCATTATCCATATTATTTGCTTTCATTATGATCCATGTACCATTGGCTTAAAGATTCACACCATTCACGAATGATGGACTACAGGTGTCCAAGTACCTCATGAACAATTATTGGTTTATATATTGTATACTAAAATGAAAGGCATATACCACAAGTTGCTGGATGGAGAAATGAGTTTCATATTGAAGCTATTTTACATCTTTGTGGAAACAGATAATCGGTTGAGAAATTACTGTACCTTAAAGATGACATACCTGAAAAAAAAAACATATGGGAAATAAGTTGATATTAATTGTAGATTTGTTTAAATAAAAAAGAAGTTTTGGAATAATATTTTACACTTGATAATTTTTTTATGTCATCCATAGGCAGGAAATATCACTGTATCGGTGTACTGTTAATAGCTATAGTTTAAGCTCCTGGCACCAGTAGAGCTCCGGGCACGATGTCTCCGATTTTTAATTTGGTTTTGGTTAGCTTAGGTTAGGTTGGTTTAGGTTAGTTTGGTTAGGTTATGTTTGGTTAGCTTGAGTTAGGTTACATTGGGTTAGATAAGAATACCTTAACTTAGGTTAGGTTCGGCTAGGTTTGATTAGTTTAGCTTAGGTTAAGTTAGGTCAGGTTAGCTCGGATTAGTAATAAATTTCTGCAGTGATTTTAATTCTTCCGTAAGTAGTAATCCGTGAGTGGCTGGAGAGAGAGAGAGAGAGAGAGAGAGAGAGAGAGGAATGCAATGAGTTGGATAGGAGAAGTGAGAGAGTGTTGGGTTAAAGAGAGACTGAGGTAGAGTGAAAGATCCAGTAAGATACGAGTAACTGAAAGATACGAGTCAATGAAAACGGACGTTGAGATTTCACATATCTTGGTAAACTTAACTAAACTCACCCTCTTGGACAAATTATTCAACACGGTATTTCAAGCTACATTTACGAATTATTAATCTGTATTACATTGATTTGATATAAACTTACAGAATAAACTAACAAGGAACTATAATTTAATAATATAAAATCATCATTTCTTTTTTATAATGATGCTACTAACCCGAAGAAAAAATATTGGGACTGATAACTAAAATTAGCGAAATGTTGAGAAGTGAAAATACTGATAAATTGATATAGGAAACTATTACCCAGTATACTTATTCCCTTAATATATTTAAACTGTTTACGCTTCTAATGACCAAAATTCGTATAATAACACACGACAATTTCTGGTTTTTATTTCAAAATGCCTAATTGGAACACAATTTAATCAATTATGAAGAAAATACATTATGTTATTGTTGTTAATATACTGTAAAAAGAACAAAATTTAAATTGTTGTGGAGCTTATTCATGATGTTTGCAACTAATCCCTGGCTGTATTTGTCTCTGTATTTGTGTTTATACCTGCCCCCGTCTGTATTTTTGTTTGTAGCTGTACCTGTAGATAGGAGGCAGCTATCAAACAGGGAGGTACTAACGCCTGGGAAGATATTGGAAGCGTAATGGTAGACCCTGCTGCCATATGTGACCAGGTTGATGATCTGACTTTCTGCCTCATTTACACACAATTGCACGGTCTCATTTTTTCCCCTACTTTGACAACACAACATACATATATCGTTTCTCAATCTTGATTTATTTGCATTTATTATTATTATTATTATTATTATTATTATTATTAATTTTTATTATTATTATTATTATTATTATTATTAATTTTTATTATTATTATTATTATTATTATTATTATTATTATTATTATATTATTATTATTATTATTATTATTATTATTATTATTATTATTATTATTATTATTATTATTATTATTATTATTATTATTATTATTATTATTATTATTATTATTATTTCGTCCCCCAGGCCCCGATGTGGGTCAGTGACCTGTGCCCGGGTGGGTTAATGCCCATTAAAAAAAAACCCCTATAATGTTCACCTGCATTTGCACCTCTTCTATGTGAATTTTGTATCTGTAACTATATCTGTAATACACCTGCACTTACAATTTAATTTGTACCTGCACTTGTTACCGTATTTGTACCTGCACTTGTTACCGTATTTGTACCTGTACTTGTACTTGGCAATACACCACCATCCTCTAGTCGCGTCTTGCAACACTATTTATTCTTGCACATTTACTCGTAGCTTTACCTATACCTATAGCTGCAAAGCATATTATTTGTCATTGTAATGCAATATGTAAGAAACTCTAAGATGACTAAGGTACATTAAATATATGTACGAACGTTGCATTACTCAAAACTATTAGACAATTGACATAAAGTTTATTCATTCTGTTGTAACTTTAAACCCCCTTAAAACTTCTATCGCAACATCCGTGTAAGGTTGTACGATTACAAAGTCCTATATCATTATTGTAAAGTCATTGTAGAAAAACTTGTCCGAAAGTGAACTGATGTTTCAATATGACCCAACCCGTCTTGAACACATTAATGGCAGTAGTTGATGCCATTGACCCGATCTGACATCTGTTGGTAGCAGTATACTCAATGACCCGATGTGACATCTGTTGGTAGCTGTATACTCAATGACCCGACCTGACATATGTTGGTAGCAGTATACTCAATAACCCGACCTGACATCTGTTGGTAGCAGTATACTCAATGACCCGACCTGACATCTGTTGGTAGCTGGATACTCAATGACCCGATTCATTAATTTTATTGGTGGTTATAAGATTCGACTCATGCCCAAGACCGACTAATCTTACAGGATAAACAGCCCCGACCATCAAAACCATGACCTGACCTGTCATTTTTTGCTGCTGAGAGAACCCGAGTGTTATACCCATGAATTCACTGAACCAAAAACTAACTTGATTGTCATTTAAAACAAGTTCTGACTTTTCTTGTACTCAATTTTCGAGTCTCTAACGATTTACTGATCTAAAGAAAGGTTGTGGTGTGGTGGGTTAGGGCTTTGTTTGTGTATGTGTGTGTGTGTGTGTGTGTGTGTGTGTGTGTGTGTGTGTGTGTGTGTGTGTGTGCGTGCTATTCTTTTTGAGAGAGTGCAATGCTGGCCTTGTTAAAAATAAATCTTTTAATAGCAGATGATAAACGGAGAATACACATAATAGAAACATCATTTGAAAAGCGTAACAAGACAAAGATTAACATTATGACACTTACACTTCTTTTATTAATTAACGTTTTGGTCATTGCAGTAACCATCATGCAAATAAACTTTAGAATTCCTGAATCTGGCATTTATCTGATCTTGTTTCGTTAACATTGTGACGTGGTACAAATGACACTTGGTGACGTAGACACATTGCTGCTCCCTCTGACAGTCCCTCGACGATGATGTTATTCTTCTTTTATCTTTACTTTCAATCCTGTTTAATTTTTCTTATTCCCTATTTACATTGAGCAGTTGGGACTAATTTTTTTTTATAATTTATGTATTGCCTTTTCCCATTGTTTTGCAACTGGTCACAGGTGTTAATCTTATCAATATAAAAATGAGAGAGAGAGAGAGAGAGAGAGAGAGAGAGAGAGAGAGAGAGAGAGAGAGAGAGAGAGATGCGTAAATATCCAATCAAAATTGAAATCAGACATTCGATTCAACACCTAGCTGCTGAAGACACCCGCCAGGACTTAAAAACAGACAGCCACCTGAGCTAACTTACCTAACCTTTTACAGCTTCTCATGGCCCTTAAAGGCTTCAGTAAAGGTTACTTTTTTGTAGTCTCATGATATTGACGTAGAGGCCAACTACTGCACAGAAAGCTGTCTAGACTCTGGAGGGTCAAGTACGATGGGTAACTCTCACCGGGAAGGAATCCTTGTGGACGGGTATGTTAAGTGGCGTATCTTATGTGTCAGTTGTAGGTCCGCTTCTGTTGACGATACTTATGAGCGATACTGATGCTGGAGAAACACCATAATTATCTAAATTCGATGACGATGTCCAAAACTTTAGAGATACATGTTTAGACTCAGATGATGCTGTAGACAGTTGGTCCGAGAACAGGATGTAATAGCACCACAGAATGACTTGAGGAAACCTTCTGAGAGGTCCACAGGCTGGTTGGAAAAATGTTCATGATACTACCAGTTTGTAGTAAACTAAGGCGACCACAAAAGCAAATTCTGCATTAAAAATGATTATAAATAATATAATCACTGTAAATAAAACTGGATATCGATTTCTGGTTATATACACTAGTCTTTGGTGCCCTTAGTATCATGTAAATACTGAGTTATCGTAAAGATCATGGGAAGCAGCCAGCTAGAGTCAAGGTCTGCATTACCTGAATTATGAGTTAGGTTAACGTAGGCAGACATGTTCCAACTCTCAACTGTAGTGAGTCAAGTTCTTGGTGTACAGAACAGAGCAAAGTGCGGTAGTTCCTCCAGCTTTCCCATTCAAGAACATCACCCTCCAGCAGGAGTCGTTGCAGCAGTGACTCACCTAAACTGTATTCATTCTCTCATATTAAGAAACTCTTATGAATTTCTTAGAACCTGAATAATAATATAAAGAACTGACCATTGGTATTCCAGCAGTGTTATTTCAAGTTAGGATATGAGGTACTGGCAAGAACGTGACCTGCCCTGACTACTCGATTACCCACTTCAGGATCAATAAGGACAATAATAATATATATTTTTTTCAAGCCTCCTGGAATTGTCTTGCCGTAACTGAAAGGAAACATAGATATACTTTCTTAATTTAGTCGGTGTCATTAGTTCATTGTAGATATCCTAATGAATTGCGTCGGGCGAGTGGATACAGGGTTCTCTTTTTGTTCTGAGGGTCACTTGTTCGATCTTGCAGTTCTCCTAGTTGTCAATAAAGACCTAATTTTCCCTAGTTGAGCGGTCGACTGCACTACCGGCCATTATGCATCTCTGTGTACTGAAGATTTAGCATATAGTGTATAGCATCTACACCATTCCTAACAAGCAGTCATGCCTACTGGACAAACTTTCTCTTTTTTCATTGCTATAATCTTCGTATTCTTCTATGATATTCCTGTATTATAATAAGACCTTACTAATTACTATTATTAGGTAATATTAATTAGTATCAAATTCGTTTTAATGTAAGTAGAGAGGATTAAGACGTGGAGTTGAATCTATGCCTGGTCCTTTTTTATCAATGTAATACCACTCGGTTACACACATGTATAGTTCCAGTTATAATATTTATGTTTCAATTTTTTTACTTGCATTGACAAGAGACTTTCGCAGTCAATTATCTGTTTAAATTATTGAGTCATGAAGATTTGATTAAGGACAGATAAAAAAAAAATATGCTGTAAACATAATTTGATATATTTTTAGGTTCTTGTAACTCGTATAGGGATACAGTCAATGGCTTCTTCATAAGAGTTATAGAAACGAAAAGAGGTGACAAAGGCCTACCATATTGTCTCCGAGTTTGTGTGTGAGTGATGGTGACAGGGGAATACTTAAGCTTTGTTCATGTTCATTGTTGTAAGTGTGAAGGGAATGAATAGGCAAAGAAGTTAAAAATTATTTTCTATTTCTCACCATTTCATTGTTCATTATAGGGGAGAGGAACATTATTCTATTCTCAAGAACCTGTCAGGTATTGAGGTGATTAATAGACTCGTTCACAGGTGCGACTCATTGTTTGATTCTCGTAATACTTGTGTTTATATATACCTCCATCATCTTTTGTTTGAGATTTAAGCTCTCAAGGGAACTCACATATAACATTCCGAGGAATATGGTAAATAAGGAAGATATAGAAATCCATCCACTTATTCGTTCATTTTATTTATGGAATCACAACATAAATACAACTTCATCATTAAGCTTTACTTTCTGATTTATTAAGAAAACGCAGAAGTAAAGTAACATATAAATAGTTTTATCTGTACGTATAGGATAAGTGAAGTGTTCGTAATCATGAATTATTTCCCATACCCACCGGAGATTCCTCCGTGCCCTCTACTGCCTCCGTGTCCACCGCCAAGGACGGCGCCTCTTTGTCCACCGCCAAAGATGACACCTCCGCGTCCACCAATGGCACCTCCATGTCCACCACCATGTCCACCGAGAACTGCGCCGCCTCCGTGTCCACCAACAACTGCTCCACCTCCGTGTCCAGCGACAACTGCGCCGCCTCCGCGACCACCGTGTCCACCACTATATCCGCGACGTCCACCACCAAGGTTGAAGCTGACGGTCGCCGTAGCTCCGCCGTTCCCGCGTCCACCACCAATGATGGCTCCTCCACGGTGTCCTCCTCCAATGATGGCTCCTCCACGGTGTCCTCCTCCAATGATGGCTCCTCTACGGTGTCCACCTCCGTAGGAGGCACCTCCACCACCAACATTTCCTACTCCATGTCCACCTCCACTGACGATGGCTCCACTTCCGTGTCCACCGCCAATTATGGCTCCACTTCCGTGTCCACCGCCAATTATGGCTCCACTTCCGTGTCCACCGCCAATTATGGCTCCACTTCCGTGTCCACCGCCAATTATGGCTCCACTTCCGTGTCCACCTCCATAGGAAATGTCTCCACCGTGTCCACCACCAACGATGGCTCCACCGTGTCCACCACCGACGATGGCTCCACCGTGTCCACCATCAACAATTCCTCCTACTCCGTGTCCACCTCCACCGATGATGGCTCCACCTCCGTGTCCACCTCCATTAGAGATGCCTCCGTGATATCCACCACCATGTCCACCACCGACGATGGCTCCACCGTGTCCACCACCGACGATGGCTCCACCGTGTCCACCATCAACAATTCCTCCTCCTACTCCGTGTCCACCTCCACCGATGATGGCTCCACCTCCGTGTTCACCTCCATTAGAGATGCCTCCGTGATATCCACCACCATGTCCACCACCGACGATGGCTCCACCGTGTCCACCACCGACGATGGCTCCACCGTGTCCACCATCAACAATTCCTCCTCCTACTCCGTGTCCACCTCCACCGATGACGGCTCCACCTCCGTGTCCACCTTCATAAGAGATGCCTCCGTGATGTCCACCGCCATGTCCACCACCGACGATGGCTCCACCATGTCCACCACCGACGATGGCTCCACCGTGTCCACCACCGACGATGGCTCCACCGTGTCCACCACCAATGGTAGCTGCTCCACCATGTCCACCACCGATGATGGCTCCACCGTGTCCACCGCCAATGGTAGCTGCTCCACCATGTCCACCACCGATGATGGCTCCACCGTGTCCACCTCCGTAGGATGGGCCCTGGGAGATTATGGCTCCACCACCATGGGCTCCTCCACCTAGTACAACAACACCGTCTCCATGGCTGCCTCCAATGACCCCTCCGTGTCCTCCCCCATGCTCACTACTGGCGAATCCTCCATGTCCACCACCGTGTCCACCCCCATGTTCACTACTGGTGAATCCCCCATGTCCACCACCGTGTCCACCTCCGTGTCCACTACTGGCGAATCCTCCGTGTCCACCCCCATGTTCACCACTGGCGAATCCTCCATGTCCACCACCGTGTCCACCACCGTGTCCACTACTGGCGAATCCTCCGTGTCCACCACCGTGTCCACCGACTATTCCACCTCCATGACCTCCATAAGAACCTCCTCCTCCGTGTCCACCGTGGAGGTCCCCAAGACCACTGGAGGCCAGAAGAACTACACAGAAGAACACCAACAGCTTCTGGAATAAGAGAGAGACAAGAAAATTACTCATATATCCCTTCCAGTTTCCAACATCGAAATCAAGTGTTAAAACAAGGCACTGAAACGGAATCCCCCCACCCCACTCCCAAGGGAAAAACATGTATACCCTATAAAAACAAAGAAAAGAGGAAGAGAAGAAATTGTGCAAAGTTCACTTCTTAAGGTAAACTTATCCAGTGTATAGAGACACCGTTTTTCTTCAAAGCTAAGAATGCAGACAAATTACTTGTAATTTTCTAACATTTCATCAATATTTTTCCCATTCTCTTGGCAATATATTAAGAGAGACAACACCGTAACATAACATTCATTTTCAATAAAAATAAAACCCGGAACTAATCTCAGACACAAAGGCTCCGGCAGGTAAAATAATTAAAACTACACTCAGAGTTTCTACAGTACAATAATACGAAAATGCAGCCAGTTACCTCTAAGTCTCTACATCGCGGAAAAGAAGAGTGATTGATTCGCGTCAAGAACCGATCATTCATCTCTAATAAAAGCCGACACTGACAAGATCAAAATCACTACAAGTGTTCTCAGTTTCCTCAGGTGAAGGTACTGTGACGTAATGAACCTTCGAGTTGTACGCTTCAGATGACTGGCAACAGTGACTCTGCTGTTATGTATAGATGAAGTCCACGACATTTATTTCGTCGTATGACATAAAATTTTGAAGTTCTCTTTTTATCAGGAGCATTCCTTACACTATCAGGTATCCGTAGGCTACTTTCACTGACACTTGAGTAGGCCGATAAAAAGGACTGTTATTAAAAAAAAAATCAAATCTTACCCCCTCCCCCCCAAAAAAAAAATAAATAAAAATATATATAAAATAAAAACTCATTTCACTATAGATATGGAAGACAATATCTGAATATTTCCTCGCCTTCTTCTTTTCTCTGTCCACTGAATCTTGCTGTACAATAATTAATCTGTTAGTGACGCGCATCATTACACAGTGGGTGACTACGTTGCGTAATAAGCAATATTCAATAAGAATTTCCCAACCTTCCTATAAAAAAAGAAGTCACAATATTTAAACTTTTTCACAATCACATTTTTTTTCACAATCACCTAACTGGAGCAAGTGAGTGGTAATAAACTTATGAAATAGAATAAAAAAAAGAGCAAGAAGGTTGGGAGAGCTGACACTGTCTTACCATTACGGTGTTCGTCGAGGAGCTGACACCAGAAGCCGTCTCACTTTCTTATATACCCGCACACTCATGCCTGGCCCTTCCCACTCATACCAAGGGCGGTCGGCCAAAATTTCTCTAAAATATATCACCCTTGACCCAGTGCTTCCAGTAGTGATGGGAAAGTACCCTTTTTTTTTGTAGGCATTAAGGCCATCGGGTTTGACCAGCTACGGTAAATGAATGGTCTTTTTTTTTTAAAGCTTTAATATTAGGAACGACTATGCAACCGTGTTTTAAAAAAAAATTAGGGATATATTATTTGCTTTTATTATTAGCATTGAATTGAATTGAATTGAAACAGTTTATTTAGCCAGAAAAATACAGATACAAGGTGGATAATAATAACAATATTAACATGGCTGAGCCAGTTGAGAACCTGAGCTCTCTTTGAGGCACCTGATATATACTATACTGGCGACAAACTTATATGATAAAAAAAAACCGAGTTACAAAAGCATAAAAAACACTTAATTTTTTTTTACTCCTAATAATGATGTAACTATTTAAATATGAATCTATTCCCTGTTGACCAGAGCATCCAGCTCCTTTAAGAAAAGATAATTTGGTTATTAAACCACCGCTCATAGAACTTTGGTTTGTGCTGAAAACGCTTTACTAATATTACAATTTCTTGGACGATTTTTTTTACGTTGGTGATCTGCCCGTTCACTACCTTCCCTCCCTCCACTGAACATGCTCTACTCTTTTGGGAGGAGAGTCTTATTACCCTTAAGTTAAAAATGTGTGATATAATAAAGTAATATAAACCTTAAAGCAATATATTTGGACTTTGTTTATTCTTTTTAAAGATTTTGCATATATATATATATATATATATATATATATATATATATATATATATATATATATATATATATATATATATATATATATATATATATATATATATATATATATATATATATATATATATATGAGCATCTACAATTTGTTCTGTTCTCACCGGGATGATAAAATTCAGAGCTTTAAGATCAATGTATTGTTGTTGTTCGGTTAAAGTGAGCAAAAATAACTAGAGATGGATTTTATCTCTCGTGAATATTAATTGTATTTCATTGGTGTTTTGATAAGACAAGAGAGCATTAGATTTATAAAGATACAACATTCCACATAAATCATTAATATATATGAAGTATTTTAAGACCAAATATATCAATACTAAGTACAACTACACATAAGGCTACACATTTCTTTATTTCTAAGAGTTGTTATGTACTGAAAGAAAATGACAAACTAAATGGCACTTAAAGAACTAAGCTGTTTGAGCCCCTAAATACAGTAAGCAATAACAACGAAACAAAAGATGCACTCAGAATAATAATACTCATAAAAAAAGTATAAGATTTACATTAATAATACAAGAGTAAAAATAAATATGATAAAAAAACATTGGTATTAATAAAACTATATTCCTTCCATTCAACAAAATATCAAATAATAAAAAAAATAAATTAAAAAAGGAAAAAAAAGATCATGAATAATAATATTAAAAAATCATGAAATATTTTGTGAAAGGTGAACACTGTAGAATAAAGAGAAACAGAATAATGTGTACTAATAATACTCTTGAAAACATTACGTAAAGTACTTTAACTCTTACTCTGAAGACTGTCTTTTTCCTTCTATATAATAGGTTTCATGTGGAGGAGTTGAGTAACTTTTTATGTCTGTGTGACTGGAAGACGTTTGGAATATCTCTGGAGAAAAAATTATATAAATTTATTAATAGATAAATATAAAGATAAATAATGCAAAAATAAGTAAAAAAAAAACACAATACCAAATAAAATTATTTCATCTCTTTCCTTTTTATATATGCTTTAAAACTTTTTCCTCAAAAGGTGTGAAAGTTTTACGTACACTCACGCGCCATAGTTTTGATGCACCCTCTACCCTACTCCTGACTCTATGGAAGTCGTAGCCTTGTCTTCATACAGAATGACCCCCCCCCTGCCCCCCCCCTCCCCCAAACTCAACTTCCCCCACCCATCATTCAGTGGTGCTATGTGGTAGCTCGAAGCTTCGCTGGATTGTACGAATAGCAGTTCATGATGTAATATTTGAGAAAATAATGCACGATACAGATATTTTAGTGACTTCACAACATTTTATTTACAATCACTATACTTATCACTATACAAGAGGGTTCGTTCGGTTTGTAGCCCTGACTACGACTTCCCTCGAGCCAGGAGTAAGGGTAGAGGGTGCATCGAAACTATGGCTCGTGAGTGTACGTAATGCTATTGTGAATTTGTAATAACCATAGTCAGCCTTGATAAATATACGTACACCTAGTGTACTTAGGATAACAATGTCTGATACACTTAAACACAGAAGTATAATTTCCATTTTTTTTCTTTCTCTGCAATACACACACACACACACACAAAAAAAAACACACACACACACACTACTACTACTACTACTACTATTACTACTACTACTTTGCTGTCACTCGGAATCAAGTATGACGATCATCCAGCTATGATTCAATGATATGAGTTATTCGGGATGTCACCTACTGTAGGTTGGTGAGTTCTGAGGTGATTAAAGAGGCCGATATGGGACCGGCAGAGTCGTTCACAGATGTTTCACATGTGGAGGGCTACATCTAGTGCGGGAGGGCGGTGGCAGCGTCTTTCCGACGCTACTGCTTGTCTGCCTCGGTTTACAATCGGGCTAACCCGAAAGTATTGACACCTTCTCGTTTGGTGCTCCTCCAAGCGTTACGATGTGGAGTAATCTACTCCAAGATGAGGGTGTTCTCTGCACTTTTCCTGTATCTGGCGGGCAGCAAAGATCATGTCAGTGGTGCCACGTGATGGTTTAAGGCCACATTAGGATTCTGGGAGGAAGTTTTCCTCCTCCAGCAAGAAGTCTGTTCAGGAGGAGTTGGGCGATAATCTTTCCAGGTGCGGAGAGCAGCGAGAACCCGCGGTAGTTGCCACAGTCTGACCGGTCTCCCTTGTTCTTATAAATATTGACAATGGAGGCATCTTTAAGAGCTTGGAGGATTTCCTCCTTTTCCCATATATTCTCCAGGAGAGAGTGGAGACGGCTGGTAAGCTGAGGTCCTCCTGCTTTATACACCTCGGCTCGGATTCCATCAGGCCCCGAGGCTTTGTTATTTTTCATCTGTTTGATGGCAGTAGCTACCTCTTCCAGGGATGGAGGATAGCTGAGGTGGGTCAGCTCTGGTTGCTGAGGGACCTGCTGGGTAGTCAAGACATCCACATCGGTGTTTCGGTTGAGCAGTGAAGGTAGTGCTCTTTCCAGTGCTGAAGGAAGCCGTCATTGTCTTTAATTATGAAGTTACCATCGCCTGAGCGAAGGGGGGCTGCGCCACGAGTGATTGGCCCATAAAATGTTTAAGTGGAATTGAAAAATTCGTGCATCTTGTGCTGATCTGCAAATTTTGTTTTTCATATGCTTTATTTTCAAACCAGTCGTTCTTTAGAATGCGAAGTTCCCGCTGGGCAGCCGCTTTCTTTTTGCGGAAGGTATCAGCTTTGGTCCGCGACTGAGGGTTGTTCTGCCAGTCAGTTAAAGCAGGACGTTTATCATCGATGAGTACATTGATTGCCGGGTCATTTTCATCAAACCAGTCCTGGTGTATTCTTTTGATCTGACCGAGTGTCTCTCTGCAGGTTTTCGCCATGACAGTGTCTACAATATCCCATTTGGCACTGATGAAAAAGGTATGACTTGAGTGATTCAGGGGGACTCGAAGCGTCATGAGGCGCTTGTTGATCCCAATAGACATTTCAATTAGCCTGTGTAGG